CCCCCCCCCCCCCTTGCCCCACCGTCGGCCCCTCGTCTACTCTCGGTGTTCACCAACCCCCTTTCTGCTTCTTCATCTTCGTTGTTAGCTAAGGTTTTCTTGAAACGAGTTCGGAGAACGTATTGTACCTTTCTGTGAGCATCGTTCCGTCCCTTTTCCCGACAACTGGGTAGACAGCGCGTGAAAGTATCTCGGGTTTACTCATTACTCAATGATTCGAATTCTCTCATCGCCTATTGAACTCCAGTCAGCTTATCCGAATATCTTTGAATATGTATCGCGATTGTCACCGACAATCGTATTTTTCATTAGAAGTCAACACGGTAGCAATTTTCTAGAATCGACAGCAAACCGCGCGATCTTCGAAGCCGGTGTTATTCGATCTGTTAAGTTATCCGACCCACGAGCGACCACTTCCGTTATCTGCGCACGCGACACGCGACGCGGCGCCTACGCGAGTTCGCGGTCGCGACGATACGTATTACGAATTTGTTGAAAGGATTTGTTACCGGACCAGCGGCAAATGTAAATTTCCGTCTATTTGCATGAACAAATCAATGAGAAAAAATATCCGCAGTGTCAAATCGAGAAACCAGTCTGTTAGTACATATCACGACCTGCGATTTATCTAGAGTCAATAGTTACGTAATGCATGGTTGATTCGGACGGAACGAAGCTAAATAGTCGACGACGTTTTGGCATGGATGTCGTTTGAATTTCGTTGAGCTACGTGAAAAATTTATCGTTCTCTCGGTTCACTTTATTTCCCCTCTATTCCTTTTTATCGTCCAGAGAACCGCAACGCGCAACGTCGCGTCGCGTCTTGGCGACGAGGAAACGTCTGAAGCGTAGGTACTCTTTCGCGGCGCCGATTGGTTTCCACGACGTAATCGGGCGCTCGCTTTTTCCGCGGTCATTTCGTCACGGACGAGCTTTACGGATCGGGTTTACGGCATTGTACGAGCACACGCTACGCGCTGGCGTAACTATCCCGCGTCGCTCAGAAACGTACCGACTTGTCCTCCAGAGACAAAGAGCGCACTATCTCTAGCTCGTAATATCGCGACACGTCGCCGGAAGATTTTAAGTTCCAAGGACGGCTGATAAACGAAACTTCGTTGTGTATCGAAATTCGTAGGTGTAATAACAGATTAGTGTCGGGACCTTGGAACGTAGCATCGATAAAATACGATCTATGTCAATCTAGATACGTATTCATCTTTATTAGTTGTTCACATTTTAATGTGGATGAATAGATGAAATGATCGTCGATCGGTTAGAGTTATATAAATAGGAGAGATAGGAATGTGTATGGTTTGATTCCTCTGGAGAAGGTCTTCACGTGGCTACGATCCGTCAAAAGCGGTTGCCATTTTTCTCGATGCGTAGCATTTTTCCTCGGGCGGGACCGGTATAGGTATCGGTGCAATAAATATCCGAGCAAGCCGTGGACGAAGGGCAACCGAGACATGTGGGGAAGGAACGGAAAGGCAGAACTCCGGCCTGGTACGCACCTTACCTACCTGCCAGCAATGTCTGGCCCGCGATTTGCGTAAACACGCTCTAATTTATGGAGGTTTCGCTCTGCGTGAGCCGGCCGCAACGCCCTCGCAATTTACGCAGGAACCCCCTACGCGGCTTCGAGATTAGCCTCTCTCCCTTGTCTTCCGTTTTTATTTTGACAACCCCTAGTTGCGGCTGCTTTATATTTCTCCTCGGGGCGGCGCTATGCTTTCACGGAGGGGTGGCTCGACTGAAATCGACGCGGCTGTGGAACAACGATCCAATCCGCACGGAACCGAAAGGTTCCGTACGCGATAATACTGTCTGTGTTATCTATTCATTAAAGTTTTCCACTTTGGGAGAGAGAAAAAAGTGTTTCACGCGCACGCGTAGGTCTTTATCTTTCTCTTCGATAATTCGAATCAACCACGGAATAATATAAAGCGCGAATACAAAGAGAGATCTGTCGGAACCTGGTGTCGCATTGTCTGCGATTTCTCGTGAGATAGAAACGGCCGGTCGCGGTTTCTCAATGAATTCGTGGTGAAGAAGGCACGGAAAGGAGAAGAGCGAGAGAGAGAAAGATTGGTCTCTCGAGAACAGATCTCGAGTGAAGGTGGAGAAAAATAGTAAGGGAGATTCGAGAAGACGATTGGCCCGAAGAGGACGGCTCTCCTGGGCCAGGGATACGAGATGAAATCGGCGAAACGAAAGGAACCGAGTTAAACGCAATAGGCTATTTCGCGCCAGACCGAACGTAGAAGAAGTTTCTTTCTTCTTGGAGGGTGAACGGTGCTTGCCGAGATTTAAGAACGGCCCGCGTGAACTCAGTTCGTCCCTACGAATTCTTTTCACATGACGCTCACTTTTTTCCTTTTTATTTTATTCCTTCCGAGTTTAACGCGTCAGGTCCATATCTCATACGATACGATCGAGTCGTGTCAACGTTAAAGAAAAGCAGTTTCTTAGCTACGTCTACGAGGGAAACATACCTCTCCTTCTTCTTTGCAGTCGCAGGTCAGTCTGCCATGAAGATCACAGAAGCACGGGGGATAGTCGCACCTGTTCGTCGAGTTGGTCAGGGCACCCTTGAACAAGCCACTCCATAAGAGTCCGAGGATAATGCTTCCCAACATGAATTTCGCTGCTCCCATTTTGCGCCACGGTCACGCTCTTGATCCACCCTCTTCTTCTTTAGTTACCACTCCTCTTTCTCTCTCTCGACACGTTCACACCGACTAGTCGATGTCAGCTGATTCTACGTCGAGTCGACCTGTACGTCGCCTCGACATGTCTGCGACTTGGATTTTCGATGAATCCGATATATGTAACACCACGCGAAAATCTCCCTTCGTGAAATGAAATCTCTCCGTAGAGACACAATTTATATCGTTTTTGAATAAAGTCTAGCACAAGTCGCGTGTCGGGTTTGACACGACACGCACCACTACGTAATCCTGTCATTCATGTTGCCATTGGAATCATGACTTCTCTCGCGGTACGATTTTCGAAGATGCTTCACCAAAAATCGTCATTCGAGCCGTCGTGAGACGATCCTCGTCATTATTTTCCTTCGCTCGACCGGAAACATCCAATTACACCCATGACACCGTGCGATACTGTTCAGCATCACGACCAGTTTCCACGGATTTCTAGTCTCCCGTTCGACGTTGACCGAATTTCCTGTTGAAAGGACAGAAAAATGAAATCACATTCTCTCAACTCTTCTCCCTGCCTGTCCTCGAACGGAATCTAAATTCTTTCATCGTCAATTGATTTCTTTCTTTTTCGATTAACACATATCATTCTTCTTTATCTAGAACGTCGGTGATACGTTCGCCTTAAGTGTAACTGAGAATGCTTCTTATCTGCTCTGTATTTTTAGTGTGCCAAGCTTGACCGATTTTTTCAGAGGAACGGAGCGTGACATACTATTGTCGCGATATCACGGAATGAATCACAGAGGCGTACTACGCGATGGAAAATCCTCGTGATCTCGTTGCGTCGACGACTCTGTGCAATGTCTTTCTCTCTGTTTAAACTACGCCCGCACGCTATATACTCTCGCATGACTAATTATAAACGTCTCCCTACATTCCTCCGCTATCAGAGACCGTGGTGTCGCATGGTTACGCGGTCGTTATTTCCGAACGAAAAAGAACGTGGCTAGATTCCTCGTTTCGTAAACAAATTTTTGCCTATCGATCTTCCTCAACTCGAAGAACCGTAGAAAAAGAGGATATAAGAAACGTCAGAGACCTCTCTGACATTTCGAGCCGTATATATTCGCGGCGTATGTAGAAGTTTTTATTGAATCCGACCGAGGTGATTTGCATCTGAAAACGTGTGCGCGATGCCATTCTCGCGTTGCTTACGTACATTCGAGGGCACATGTGGCGCGCAAACTTCTCCGCTAACGGGGATTCCGCGGCTGGAAAAGCACGCGACACGCGTGTGCGCCAGGCCGACGCGATGCGACGTACGTTCCACACTCACGCCGCTCCAAGTTAAACAATTTGCCCTTCGGGAAACGCGAACCTGCTTACAGTTACATCCCGATTGCTTAACAGCACCCCGAAGAACGAGGCCAAATAGCATCACGGTTTCCCAATGGAGAATATTCTATCACCCTTCTTTCATTCTGAAGCGTTTATCTGCTTTTTCAACCGAATCACAGTATATAAAGTCTTTCTTCATTCGCAAGCGTAATTTGCATGGGTACAACGTATAACGGTTCGAGAATTGCGTAATAGATCAAACCGTCGTGACATCGGATGACGACTGCAGAACTAGTTGAACGCTATCATTTCTAGTCGGATTGGATATTTTTCCGCGATTGTGCTTAGTTGACGTCTCAATCAGTAAAACAAGAGTGCTTTTACGTAAATTAATAGGAGTATTTTCTAAGTGACCTAAATTAGAATAATATTATTCGATGTTGAATGGATTTAATCGATACTAATTGTACCGTTTAATGTTCTATGGCAAATCTGTCTGTTGATGATGTTCACTCGAAATCTCATGGAAGCAATACTTGGTCGTCTCCAAACGATTTCTTGTTCGCGAATGAAATGTGGCACGAAGCGTAAAAAGATGCACGCGTTATTCAGGTGGCAGCCGGATCACCTTTCTCCGGGTCCTCGTTGAAACGGCAGTTCATTAAATAGCAATTTCGCGGCATTCTCAGGGACCGGGTCGGTCGTCGACTTTTTAACAAG